AAAGTTGGCGCCCAAGGGGGTTTGTAAGGCCCGCCGTGTTGTTGGGAATTGCCGCCCGTAGGGGAAAAATGCGGTTGGTAATTGCCCCCGTGGTTGGCGCCCGGAAAGGCAACCGCCGCCGTGGCAACGGCGCGCCCGTTAAGGCGGGGGCCGGTCAAAAGGGAGCGGCTGGAAGATGGCGGCTGTGGGAAGAGGAGCGGCGGGCACGGAGGACCCAAAAGCCGGTGTTCCGGAGGTCTCCGGACGGCATCGCGAGAGCGTCTGTGCGTGGCCCTGGCCCGGGGCCCAGGTGCGGAGCGGCGCCTCCCCGAGCATGTCGAGAATGGTGCGCAGCGGGTTCAGGGACGGCCCGTTGAGGCCCTCAAAGATGGAGGGGCCAACCTCGAAGGAGTACTTGCCGCCCTTGTGCACGCGCGTGAAGGTGTGCGCCGAGCCGCCCGGCTTGATGTGCGACTCGATCACCGCCACGCGCGAGCCGTACTCTGCACTCAGCGCGCCGCAAGCGAGGCCGCCCATGCCCGAGCCGATCACGACCACGTCGTACTCGTCCTGCAGGCCCTCGCCGCCGAGGCCGTTACCCGTGCCAGGGTACGTCGGCTTCTCGTACCCCGTGTCGAGCGACATGTCGTAGCTGAAGGTCATCACCTTGTCCCGCTTTGTGTCTTTGATTTGCTCGACGTTGTCGCCCGTCTTGCGCTCAATGTCCAGCTGCATCCGCGCCGCGATCGCGGCCGCGTGGCCGCGCCACGGCTGCACGGCAGGCGCAACCAGGAAACCAGCGCACGGCGCGATGGCCGCAAGCATGGCAAATTTGGAGAAAGAGACCATGCGCGAGAGTGCAGCTCAGGAAAGAGCGCAGGGCGGCGCGATCTTCATTTGGGTCTAAATTTGTGCGTGTGAATGAACTTAGTGATAGTTTAGTGCGCTATTTAGTGTGTGTGCGACCAGGCGCGATCGCTTCATTAGGATATGTAGATGGAAAAATTCCTTGGTGAGACTCTCTCTCTCCTCCAAGACACTTCACCGAGCTGCAGGACGCACACAGCACCCTCCTCGATGACTACGACTACGTGGCGAGGACCTACGAGCAGTACGACCGCCAGGTCTTCGACTACTGCAAGGAGGGCCTCGCACACTTCCGATTTCACCCCGACGGCCTCCCCGACCGATTCTGGCAGTGAGCATCTACAAAGCGCACAGCGTCGCTACATGTACTCCCAGATCATTCATCATGCAGCATGGCTCGGCTTTTGGAATGCGTTGTAGCTACCGGGCGTGGCTAGGCGGGAGGCGGTGCGCTTCATCGCCGTCAGCCAGTACCAGGCGGGCGCCTTCCTCAACGCCGTCCCCTCGCGCCGCGACTTTCGTATCCCGACGTGGGCGCTGCGCATCGCCGTCCAGCGGCGCCTCGGGCTACCACTTGACGAGGCGCTCGCGCGGGGCGCGCCGACCTGCTCGGCGCGCGGCGGCAAGGTGCAGGACCCACTGGGCGACGCGGCCAGCAACATCGGCCGCCTCGGGCACTGCGGCCGCCACAACAGCCTCCTCGCCGCCCTGGCCAAGGTCATGCGGAGCGTGTGGGGCATGCTCGTCGAGGTGGAGCCGCGGGACCACCTCGGCTACTCTAACGACTACCGGCCCGACGTCTCGGTGGCGGGCGCCGGCCGCTCGCGCTCGCGCCTCATCGGCGACGTCAAGTTCAAGGACTCGCTCTCCTCCAACCCGGAGGACGTCGGCCAGCGAGGCGCTTTCGTCGGCCTCGGCAACACCGAGCCCGGCACGAGCGCGGACGTCTTCGGCCTCGAGCAGCGCGGCGCTGTCGGGGACGGCGACTTCAGGCCGAGCGACGGCGGCGGCTATGTGGCGTACAAGAAGGCGGACTACGCGCACGCCCTCTCGCGCTCGGACACCGACGTGCAGATGTACCTGTTTGAAACCTTCGGCGGGTGGTGCAACGCGGTCAAACGGCTGTTCTACCAGATGAAGGACAAGGTGCGCAACAAGCTCTCGAAGCGGCAGCACGAGGACGAGGCGAGCTGGTCGACGCGGTCGTGGCTTTCGCTGCAGGCCCAGCGCATGTCAGTCGCGCTGCAGCTCGCGGCGGCGGAAGAGATTGCGACCGAGCTCAGGCTCGCCGCGGCGTCGGAGGACGCCGCCGTCGCCTAGACTCCCCTGCGTCACTACGTGCCTCCCCGTCTTTGTAGCCTGGCGTTTGTGCCCCGTTTGTGCCGCGTCCCGTGCAACCGAGTTCATTTCATATTCTTGCCACCTACCGAGCAGCAGACAATGCTGCTGGCCCTCCCTTCGTCGGCTAGCTTAGTGACGACCACGCCGGCCGCCATCCGGCCCGTGCTGCGCCCTCGGGCACAGCTGCTGGCGACCCGCACGGCACTCGGGCCCGCAGACCTCGTCAGCGAACCCACAAGCACCGCCTCGGGCTCGGCCGCCTTCTCGTGGGAGGCCAACTGGTATCCCGTCATGCCTGTGAGCTATGCCGACCCCGTGCGTCCCAACGGGTTCACGCTCCTCGGCAGGCACCTCGTCCTATGGAAGAGCGCAGACGGATGGGCATGCGTCGAGGATGGCTGATGTGCCGCTTCCACGGCTGGCGCTTCGACGATGCCGGCAACTGCGTCGAGGTGCCCAATGCCGAAGCTGGCGCCGCAGCCTCGCTTTGCGGGGCACCAGAGACGTGCGCTACCAGCTACCCAGTGCGGGAGGTCTCGGGGCTGCTGTGGGTCTGGCCAGAGGCTGGGCTGGAGGGGCTCGGCCGCAGCCTGCTCGAGGAGCCGGTGGCGCTGGGGAGCGGCGCGCAGGACTGGGTGATGACGGTGCCTCCGGTGTCGTACGAGTCCATGGTGGAGAACTCGATGGACCCCAGCCACGCGCCGCATCTGCACGAGGGGACATTCGCGGCGTCAGACATGGTGCCGCTCACCGACTACTCGGCCCCCGCCGAGCCGCTGGGAGACGAGGGGTTCACCGTTGCGCACGGGGGCTACACGACCAAGAATGACGGCATGAAGGCTACGCGAACCTTCCGATCCCCGAGCTTCGTGGATGTGAACTACGAGCTCCCGTCGGGCAAGCAGCAGAACTTCCAGCTCTTCTTCGTCCCCTCGACGCCCTTCGAGACGCGTGTGATCACGGGGCTGGGGCTGCCGCAGCTTCCTGTGTGGCTGCCCAAACGCGAGCTGCTGGCAGACCTCCTGCACGCATTCTTCTTCTCGCGCAGTGCGCTGTGGCGGTTCAACGACCAGGACCGACTGGTGATGCAAGGGCAGGACCGCAACCAGGCGGCCGATCCGGACCGGCGGCAGGCAGCATGGGACGTCGCGACGCCGTCGGATACGGGCGTCTCGACCTTCCGCAAGTGGCTGGCCGAAGTTGGCGGCGGCGGTCCCTTTGCCAGCAGCGGGGCCGCGGCTTCGCTGCCCACGACACAGGAGGAAGTGAGCCGTTGGAACGTGCACGGCAAGCACTGCCCCTCTTGCAAGCGCGCGCTGGCGCTGCTCGAAGGCACGCAGGCCGCGCTGGGTAAGATGGCGCTCTTTGCGGCTGTGGCGGCGGCGGCACTGGCCGTAGCTGGTCGGCTGGCCTCCGGCATCGTCGCCACAGCCGCCGCGGTGGCGCTCTCGGCCGGGTCGCGGTGGGCGGCTGGCGGGAGGGCCGCCTTCTTTGGGATGGAGCGCGAGCTGTGGCTGCCTCAAGTTTACGCGCGGTGAGCGCGCTCGTTTGCGGGCGGCGACTGACGACGTGGTCGTCCTCCGCGCCGCTTAAGGGGGCGGGTATGCCAGAGCACTGGGCCCCGGTGGATCTGAAGCATGTGGATGGAGCTCCTGGTCGTACCTCGTACGTGGTCGTAGTAGCGACGGCCGGGTTGCGCCCGGGCGCAGGCCCCGCCGGCGCTTAAGAGTTGTTGTGGTGCTATCTGCTACAATCTCTCTTCAGATAGTCGTGTGAACTCGGCTTCACTCCATCACTCGGCGACACCTGTGTGTGACACTTCAGGCAAACACCCCACTTTGGGACCTATTTGAGGCGGTGTGACGGCACTCACAGGGCACGGGAAGCTCTCCCGCCGTGTCTGCGTGGCCCGCCCGACCCGCGGGGAACGGCACGCGCCCCTCCCGGCGGAGCTGGGTGCGGCAGACGGGCCCACGGGTCGGTTCCGGGCCGATTTGGGCGGCCGTTCTGTGTAGTTCTGGGTCAAAATCGAGCTACACAGTTAAAAATCTCGCCCCCACGGATGATACTTTTTGATTTTTCTAGCCACGATCGTCGCCCGGGCCCGTGAGGCCATGGGAACGCCCTCGGATTGTACAGCACCCTCCACTAGCCACAACCGTGGGCCCTCAACTGCGTATCGGTGTCGCCGCAAAATAGCCTTCAGACGCTGTCTCGTCGTTATAGATCGGCCAATCTGGCCCCTCTGCCACAAGTTTTGCTTTGGGACGCACCGCAGCACGGCGGAGTCGAGATCCGGCGCGCAAACATCAAAAGTATCATCAATCGGGCCCGGCTAGACCTGCCACCGGAGGCGCGCAAAATGGAGGCGATTTTGTGGTGGGAAAGCGCAAGATGGCCAGAACGGGGCGCCGCGCGCTCGGGAGCGCTCGCCGCTCGCAGGCCAACTCCTCCCCAGCACGGTGCGTGCGTGCGCTCAGGTTGAACTCGATGCCGCGACTTCACAGCCTCCGCCGTGAAGCTTCCAGCACGCCGACATGGATTTGGCAGCGCTTCGCCGGCTGTCATCCCAGTCCATGGTCGCTCCACATCGATTCCCAGGCGTGCCCGCACGCTCCTCAGGGGAGTGGGCACGCCTCTTGCTATCCTGAAGCGCGCGTCAAGCCCGCTCGACCGTGAGCTTGCTCAGCGAACAGTTTTTCAACAGACGTTGAGTGACGGGCGTGAATCTCCCACACACTCGCCAACTCCTGACTGAGTAGGCCTAGTACCCACGTGATAGCCCCACTGATCCATCCCATGCGATCAGGCGCCGCTCGGACCCCATCTTCGAGCAGGATTCCTCGCGGCAACACAACTCGGCGCTCTCGATGTGCGCGCTAGGCAGTCTCAACGCCGATTACTGCCGAGCGCGCACGACTCGTCGGCGTACCGGCGTGCCGCTGGCATACTACGCGACGGTGGAGGCGCGTGGGTTTGCTCAAAAGGCATGCATCTGTCGGAGAGTGTGCCGCAAGACCTGATGTGCCTCCGCTCCAGGTGTGTGGCAGTTCGATGGATCCAGCCCAGCGACCTCCACGTGACGATTGAGGACTGCTCTTCCCCTCCGGCCGAGCCTCCAGTCCCTGCCACCGTGCACTGGCGCCAGCGAGCTGCATTTACATCCCGCACGCGCGATCGGCAGTCGAGTTACAACCCGCAGCTGTGCTGTGTGCGCGCGCACTCGAAACGTGGTTCGGCGATCTCTCGGCGACCACTCATCGACTCGCGCTCGGACGCGAGGTGCGTGCTCGCCTGCCTCCCCCGGGAAGGACACGGCCATTTCCAGCGAGATCTGTGGAATCATCCTCACCACCCTGCCCTCACGCCACCCAACCCGTCCGGCTGCTGCCATACTGGGACGTGAGTGCAATATTTGTGCTGCCCTCGCTATCCCGACGCGTGTGCTCCGCTCCCCGCAGGCGAGGATCGCCGTCGCGCACCAACACGCTTCGTCCGGGAGGCGCGCGGCGCGACCCGCGTTGCGAGAGCGTCGGCGGAGCCCGCGTGCCGGCCCTCTCTGGGACCGCCGCCGGGGCCGAGAGGGCGCAGATTCGGCCCCCCAGGGTCAAAGAGGGCGGTTCTGACACCGCCAAGCGGTGCTTTCGTGGACCCCACGAGCTCGCGTTCATCCGTGCAAAAATATTTATTTACCCGCAGTTCGCCTCAAGTGGTGTGAGGTGATAGTCACAAGTGTCAGAGCTCAGACATAAATGATATTGATAAAAAAAGTCTCTCAGGAACGCAAACACGCGGCGGGTGGAGACAACACCCATCACCCACCGCCCCGAGCCACATGAGGCACGAATGAGATGAAACTAAAACGCAAAAACGAAGGGGTGTGTAAGTGGGCAGGGGCTGTGGGGCGGCAGACTGCCGGACGACTGGCAGGTGATAGACGCGGAAATGTACGCGGTGCTGGCTTACCTGCGTAAGATGGCAACGGCGGAGGATGCGGCGGACAGGAGGTGCCTCGTCTTGAGCGACTGCAAGCCCGCGCTACAGCAGATCGAGGCGGCGTACCGAAAAGGCTCTCTCGAGGGGCTCCGGGAGTGGGATCGAGGGGCTCAGTTAGAGGGGATATGCAGATATCGCGCCCAGCTCGAATCCGTCACGTTCCTGTGGGTACCGAGCCACGCGGGGTGCGCTGGCAACGCCTATGCCGACGCCGCGGCGACGGCATACATGGGGGCCAGCGAGATTGAGGATGCCACCGCCGTCATCCGTGAAGCAGTGAGAACGCGCCCGTGTCTGTACACGGACCGCCGGAGGACGGCAGACAGAGAGGGGGGGCGGGAGGTACTGGACCGGAGGACCTATTACGCCACACGCGGCCACACGAACGAGTGGGCGCGAGGACGGCTCGGCGAGGGGCTCACGGCTGGGTCGCACACGGCAGGGGTGACGGGGCCGCTGTGGAGCGATGTGGTCAGGGGAACGACGAGACACAAATGGGACAAGCGCCAGCGGATCAAGGATCAGCACGGCGAGCGCGAGATTGATTTCGCCGACGTGGATGACCACAACGTGGTGACAAAGACCGTCATGGGAGCGCGGGTGCGGCAGCAGGCGGGGGTGCCACACGGAACGCACCACGAGAGGATCATGCGGGGAGAGGCGGGGAGGGAGACCCCGGGCGCCGCCACAAGGAGCGAACTCAGGGGCTGCCTCGTCTGTAAGGCCGCGAGGGACGCGGCGAGGAGGGCAGCACTAAAGCGGGACCCGCTGTGTCCGATCGTGCGGAAAGCCGCGCAGCAATGGACCGAGGAAGATGAGAACCCGCCTAGAGCGACAATGGCGCACGTGCTTAGCGGCGCCTGCCTGGGGAATAGGGAGCAGGCCAGATGGTTCCTCAGAGTAGCGCGAGCGCAGACAGGGACGGCGATCAGCAAAGTGGCACAGGCGGCACCCGACTCCAAGGATACGCTGAAGACGCTGAGGATGGCGCATGTCGCTGCGCTGAAGGGCTCACGCTACAGGGTGCTGGACGAGGACGGGTACGATACACTAGCCCCCGCAGTCGGGGGGGTGTTGCCAGCACTGGTAGATGACCTCTCGGAGAAGAGCCGAAGGGACCTTGGCACCGGGGTCACGAGGAACCTGCAAGTCGTGGCCGAGGCGGCGACGGGAGCGGTGCAGAGGTGGATACAGCTCAATGATGAGGCTACGGCGCGCATAATGAAGAGAGAGGAACACATCGAGTGGCTGAGGAAGCTCTTCGCTGGGTGGAAGGAGGCCCGCCCGGCCTTGAGGGAGTCGCGGAGGAGGAGGGATAACGGAGGCAACGTGCAGACAGGCCAGCAGCCAGCGGGACGAACGAGGACCGCGACGGCAGCTCAAGCGGGAGGGAGCGAAGCAAGGGAGAACGGGAGTGGGGAGCGCATGAGACACAGAGAGAGGGGCTGAGCAGGATTCCGACGCCACAGCCACACTTCATAGGCTCAGGGTCCCCCAGGGTGCGGGGTCCAGGGAGTCCTCTCTTTGCCCGCGTTGGACAGGTCTTTGGGGGGGTGGCGCGGCGGCGATTTCTTTTTCCATCCCACGCGCCTGCATAGGACAAAGCACGAATGCGTGTCCACATACACACATATATTCCCTTACACCCACGAGGGAACAGCCACACCCGCGAAAAAGAAAGCGTTGCTTTTCTTTTCGAAAAAAGAAAACGGAGCTCGCGCGTGCACGGGCTCGCTACGATGTGAAGCTTGCTTGCCAGCTGCCCTCGCCGCCGCTGTTTCCCCACGCACACACACACACGCACGCCCTTGCGCCCCACCCTGTCGCCGCGTGCCCACACCACACGCGCGCCTGCGCCACGCGCCCGCGGGCTGCTCGGGCGCGTGCTCAGGGCCTGAGCGCTGGACGGCCCGCCACTGCAGGGGGAGCGGTAAGGCTTCGCTGCCGGCGCTGCCGACGGGGCAGCAGCAGTACATGGTGGTTGGTCGTTTCGTTCCCAACGCCAAGTACGGCGAGGCTGCGCCCATGTGCAAGGTGTACCGCATGAAGCTGTTTGCGAAGAACCTCGTCTGCGCGCGCTCTCGGTTTTGGTACTTCATGGGGCGGTTGTGCCGCGTGAAGAAGGCCAACGGTCAGATCATCTCGGTGAACCAGGCGCGCGCCGCGCCCGCCGCTCGCAGTAGGACGCGAGAGCGAGAGGGGGCGGCCGCAGGCAAGACTCGGGCGGCGCTAGCCCAGAGGAGGGGGCGGGGCCGGGGGCAGAGGGACAGGCTGGGCGCCGCGCCCTGTGCCGCCGCTGCTGCTGCTGCCTCGGGCAGCCGCCTGCTGCTCCGCCGCTCGCGTCTCTGCGGCCGCGCTGACACCGAGGGGCACGGAGGGGGCAGGGCAGGCAGAGAAGCGGAGAGGGAGGCCGCGAGGCGGCGGGCAGAAGGGCGGAGCGGACAGGGGACTGTGGGGAAGAGCGTAGTCGCGAGGAAGGGGTGCGGCGTGACAGGGGCGGCCGAGCCGCGGACCACTCGCGATTGGTTGCGTCGGGGCGGTGGAGCTGAACCGCCTCTGCAACCCTCCCCTCCGAGCTCTTCCCGCCTCGTCTCCCCCTCTGCAGATTCACGAGAAGAAGCCGCTGCGAGTGAAGAACTTCGGGTTCTGGTTCCGCTACGAGTCGCGCACCGGCACGCACAACGCGTACAAGGAGTTCCGCGCCCTCAAGCTGACAGACGCCGTCAACCAGCTCTACCAGGACATGGCGGGCCGCTCGCGCGCCAAGTCGTCGGCGATCCAGATCTTGAAGACGGCCGAGCTCAAGCCGTCCGAGTGCAAGCGGTGCGCCCTCCCCTCCTCCCATCTCCCCCCCTAGCTTCCGCCACCACCCTGCCACCCCCATTGCCATCGCCGTCTCCGCCTGCACCGACGCCCCTCTCGCCGCCGCGCCGTCGCGCCGCCGCCTCCCACTACCGACTCCATCGCCCCCGCTCAGCCCCTCCCACCCTCCACACACAGGCCGGTCATCAAGCAGATGCACTCTAAGACGCTCAAGTTCCCGCTGCCGCACCGCGTTCCGACCACGGCCAAGGCGTACAAGACCACCTTCAAGGCTGCGCGCCCCAACACCTACTACTAGAGACGCCGCTCGCGGGCGGGCGCGCGGAGACCACCTCTCCGCAGCGCTGTCTCTTTCCTTCGCGCATGCCTTGTGTCGGCGGCGGCGGGGTGTGGTATCGTTATACTTGTGAGTCGTCGCTGTCGAGAGCTTACCGAAAAATCACAACGCGGTTCTCGCGAGTGTTCAACTTTTCCACAGAGCAGCCCCTTGGAGTGTGAAAGGCTTCGTAGCCCTCCGGTCTACTAGAAGATCCGCAGGACTGGAGCGAAAAAAAAGCAAGCGAGTGTCCACAGAGAGGCTCGGACCTCGCTCCTCGGTCTCGGCGGCTCTCGCGAACCGCTCGGTCGTCGCGACCTGCGCTCTCTCCCCCCCTCCGCGCTGCCCCCTTCGCACGCACACAGCCAGGGAGTCGGCCGGCGCGAAGCGACGACCGCCGAGCTTTAGGTCGCCGACATCCAGCCGGAGCTGCGAGTCCACACACGGAGGCGTCTAGGGCGAATTCACTGGGACAGTGATTTCGCAGAGACTACCTCATTTGCTGCTCCCCCCATGAAGGGGGGTTTGTGTGGGAAGCCAAGGGAGGTTAATGGCTTCCCACATTTGTGATGGGTCGAAATCGGCCCGCCGCATTGATGGTCGAATCGGTGTAACGAATCGAGAGAGAGAGACGCGAGGGCCCAAGAGGCCCGTGGGCTCGCCTGCAGAGCGTCTCTCTCTTGCCATTCTGCTTGTCTGTTTTGTGGCCTCTTCTCTCGTCTGTCGGTGTTTTGTCCCACCCTGAGCATTGTGCTCTTCCCGCCCTGGGTTGTGCTGTCTTCCTCCTCCTCCGCCGTGTGCCGGGGAGTCGATCAGGCAGTTCACTTTGGGGGCTACGGGTATCCCCCCTGGCTATACTTTGAGATTAGGCATCAAAAGTGGTTCACAGTGGAGGCGGTCGCCGTCCTACCCGCCTCATATCGACTCCGCCTGCCGCCCGCGGGACCGACGGTGAGCAATTTCGAGCCGCAGCCTCCCTCTGACAGCGTCCGACGCGGCGTACACGCCGCGTCCAGACTGCGCCCAGCTACTGCGACGCGAGGGTGAGAGCGGCGGAGCCAAAAGAGCAGAGGCCGAGGACGGAGAAGACGAGAGGGTAGCCGC